GGTTTCTACATCCTTCTGAATTTAAAGTGAAAAAGAAACAGAAACTATCCTTTCTCCATCTGAGAGCAGAGCATGTGCTATGAAAACAAAAGGCAATGTCTACTCTGAAATTACCTGCAATCATCTGAAAAATATCAAAGATAACTCTTGATACACTTTGAAATACTCTTACTTTGAAAAACTTGTAATATTGCCAATGGCATTCTTCTTCTATTAACTGGAAAAAAAAAAAAGAGCTGAAACTCAAGCCTGTGACTTGTGCCTGTTCCCAACTCTTCACTCATTTCTCCAGCTCTGAAAATAGAAATCTCCTTACCTAGATTACAGAATATGGCTCAACACAACAAACTTTCATGCAAATATTAAAAATCAGAAATAAAAGTTAAATACATCAGGCAAGACTTGGGACATCACTTGTATGGACCATGAACAGAACTGCAATAACAAGACCAGGGTAAATGTACCTGACATCCTTGGTGTAGAACATAGCTATCAGCAGAAAATAACTTGTAGTATCTAAAGATAGTATACTTTATATGGAAAGATGCAAATCTTTTTCCCAGGACATAGAGTAATACCTCTATTTAAATACTTTGTGAGAAAATTTCAACACTGACAAAAGAGAAAAGCCAATATTAAAATTTCAGCTCTATTTTGATCTAGCAAGAGGTAAAAAAGAGATGTATTTTAATTTACGTATTACTTCACTGGGTGCATTTTCTGGCTGAAAATCATCAGAATGTACCTGGCAGTTCACAGGGAAAGCGATGTAATGGCTGTACTTTAAACAACACTTCATAGTAATCAGACTGGGTAGTAAAGGGTATAAGTAGGTAACTTGCTGTTGCAGGTAGAGCGAGACTGCGCTTTGCTCCTAAGAGAGAAGCAACAATACTTTATTGATAGAAACCAGTGAGTTAAGGTGTGAATTAACAAAGTTCAGTGTGACAGTGAACAAGATTTGATGGCAAGGTACACTTGATTATTTACTGCATAGAGGACAGGGTCAGACAAAACTGTCAGGGAGCCCCTCCCGCTGAGTCATGAGGTTCAGAGGACCCCCTTGCTTTCTAAACTCCTTCTCAGAGAGGAGTCTAGGTGCAGCTGGATCCAATCCTACTCCCAGACTTGGTCAACGGTTTATGTCTAAAGGATTATATATGCGTAATCAATCCTTTATATCACTTAGCTAAGATGTCAAAGTGTAGCATGCTATTAGTCACTTACCGAGGATCTGTTGTGGCAAGGAATCGCTCAACCTCGAGGAGTAACCTTGAAAGGCGTCCCTGCTCAAGGGGAGATCCCACCATGCAGCCCACTGCTGTGCAGGAGAGCTCAACAGGCCCTGGGCTGTCCACTATAGAGTAAGATGATTGACTTATAGTCATATTTGCAAATCAGCAAGTCATTTGACTCACTGCTCCAGGCAGCCCTTGGCTACTGTGTTGCCATCCATCCCCGAAGTCCAGCATAACCTAGATGCAGCCACAACGACCCCCACTGGTGGTCATCGCTTACGCAGGAGGGGAGCACACCGCCACACTTCCATGTAAATAAATGCCTTAATCCATACTTCTTTTCTGTTTTTGAACACCTGTGATATGTCTATTAACTACTCATTCTTCTGGAAAAAAAAATACATTAATCTGCTCTGTAGGCATAAAGATATTTTCTTCTTTCCCCCATTAAAAATCTCTCCAAACTCATTATTTACTTACATGAAGAAGTTATTTGAGAAAGACTAAAGACCAGCATGAACTGGTATTTTCTTGTGCGCGTTATACAGTGCTTATGTTGTTGAATATGTACACAATGCATAGCAGTAAACCAGAGAAAAAACAACTTTCCTTGTAGGATGAGATTTTAAAATCTTAGGAAGCATGCATACAGGATGATGCATAGGCTTTCCTCCTTTTAAGGAATATACACAATTCGGTGCTTGTGTGCATATAATGAAAGTAGACAGAAGTCAGTTCTTGACTTCTTTATTTGATTTTAACAGATACAACATTATTTATTAAAATGGAATAGGGAAAATAATTTGATGGGGTTTTAATACTGTTCTTTCACTTGCAATACAGATTAGATGGCTAGTTTCTGAATTTCATCCCAAACATTCTGTTTACAGAGGCAGGCTGTGTTTAAAGTGACAGTTATGAAATAATGATTATCTTTGTTATTAAAAGACCTGCCAATAAACTCATGCAGAGAGTTATGATTGCATCACTACTCCCTGGTTATGACCACATTTACAATCCGACTCATCTATACGCGCTTTTATCATCATCTTGCCTTCTGCAGTTGTCATTTCTTGTTTTGATACTTGTAAAACACGTATCAAGTAGATTTTACATCCTACTTTTCTCCATTACTTTATGTGAAGTAAAGAAAAAGAAATATATTTTCCAAATATTTTTAATCTTCAAGGGAAAGATCACATAATGCATTTTATTTCAACGGTATAAAAAAAAGCTTTCTATTGTTAAAAAATTTGGTAGTAGTAAAAGAAACTCCATTTGTCACATTTACATTCTACAATTTGTAGATACCTTTAGAATAGCACGAATACAGGCCACACATCAGTAACTGCAGCAGGAGATACAACTTTCTCAGAATTTCTTTCTGAGGATTTGTTCTTCCAGAGATTCAGTGCAGACATCTGAACTTTTATTTCATAGTTCATTTTATCTGAGCTAATGATTCTGTTATTGTATTAGTCAATCAGTGAAGCCGTTCTAATTTAGCCTGTAGCGATTTAAAATTCCCAATAGTAGTCTGCACCATTAGCGTCGGGCTCATAGACTGAAGTTCAACCAGGTAGCAACTAACAGCATCCAAGCAAACGTTTGTGAATCGTCGCCTGTAAAGAAAACATAGAATAATAACGAGCTCCTTTTTGTTCTGTATATTAGAAATCACCTGAAATAGAAACTGAGCATTCTTTGAGTTTTAATGGAATAACATATCAACAAGACATGTCAGCTACTTTTATGTATTTAACTATTTATTAGAAAAAGTGTATTTTGAAATCTAATGCTTGTGACTAAGGCATAATGGGAAAATAAATGAATCATTACTATTTATCTGATATTAAATATAAACAATAAAACATGATTGTTAATAGCAACGTGAACTATTTAATATTTAGATATTACTTTAGATATGAAGACAATATATAAGTTACTAATTTAGATAGCAATTTAAATATCTAAAATTAATATAAAATCACAACAATTTAGGTATTAATATCTAAGTAGATATTAAAATTAGACAACATTCACTAAAGTTCTAAGAAGTTAGAGTATTTAAATCACCTAACCATAAAAGACCAAAAAGTCAGAAAAGATAGATGTAAACCCTATATGTGAACAGGGGATATTTATATGTATATTTTCAAGAGAATCAGAAAAATTTATGGTTAGAAGGGTTATCAAGACTTTGTCTAGTTCTGCTCATTGTTTCTGAGACAAGATAGTTCCAACTGAAGTTTGTATAGTCTATTCACAAAAGTTGCCAAAGCTAGAGATCCCATAACATGCAGGCAACTTGTTCAAGTACATAGCTATTCTTTTAGCTAGAAACTTTTTCTAATATTAAACCTAAATTCTTTCTTGTTGCAGACTAAGAAGAATTTTAGTCTTGGAGAGTCATTCATCACCAACCTCTTAAAAACAATTTGGGAAGACCTATTCTTATTTTTGTCTTCTCTTTTCCAGAATACAAAAACTCAGTGCTTCTTGCCTTTCTTCATTAAACAGTTCACTGTTTCATTCACAAAACACCCGATTCTCATTTTTCCTCACTTTTCCCAGATTCCCTCAAATTTGTCTGTACTACTCCTTAAAGTATGCAGCCAAAATTTACAAAATAATCCTCTCAGTTCCTCATGAATCTTCAGTGAAGTTGTGAAAATTATCTTTATTCAAGTAGTTTATAGGAAGGACCCTACAAGTTTCTACCAACTGGTTTTGAATGAGGAGTCTCAGTAATCACTGCTAAGAAAGAAATACTAAATTCACCCAAAAGAAAAGATGAAAAGCTTTGGGGATTGCTGAAGTGCAGTGCTTTAGGATATTTTACATCTTTCACTACTTATTAGGATATAGTTGCCTTTCTTACCTCAGAAGTACTCTGCTTGGATCATGTACATATCCTGATAATAATACATGAATACACTCTAAAAGGTGTAAAGGCTTTTTCATTCTATTCCAATATGGGTCCTAAAAAAAGATTCCAAAATATTAAGGAGACAAATATTAAGGAGACAAGAAAAAAAAAGTGTGTGTGTACACACAAATTGCCAGCTGTGGTAATTATTTATTCATTGTAACAAAAATGTAAGAGAAATGGGAATTCTATTAAGTCTATATTTAAATACTATTTTGACTTTTGAGTAATAAAACATACATGAATTTAATCCAGTTTTCCATTACCTAACAGTCTGTAAAGTAACAGATTTTAGGAAGTTCTGAATTCCTTACACTGTAAGGAATCTGGGTAAAAAGGAGCAAGTCAATTCTCTTTGTTTTAATTCTGTTTAAGCCTGGTCTACGAACCAAAAGTTAAAAAAATGTCTTCTTTATGCCTATTGCATCAATAGATTAAACAAGATGCAGTAATATAGCAAATTTTAATCATTAATAGGCAACAAATAAAACTAATATATTCAAGATGTGCTGTTCCTTCTGCAACATAACAATCCTAAATCCTATTTAATCCTAAATCAGCTTTAGGATTTTTTCATATTTTCCTCATACTTAGGATTAAAATTAATAAAATCAACAGGGGGAAAAAGCAGCAGCATTAAAAACCTTTAGGTAAAAAAAGAGAACAAAAGCTATGAAGTTGATATTTTGATATATCACACCTTATGTTATTTTATGTTTCCTGCTAAAGACAGACCTTGATAGTAGTTGAAAACAAAATTTTTATTTTGTGGCTATTTTCCTTACCCGTGCTTTAAACAACTGGTCATATACTTCAAGCAGCCTTGGCAACGGCACTCCAATTTCTTGCATGGTATATGTTACAAAACCTACATCCCAGTTCAAAGTGCAGACCTGTTGCTCTAGAAACTGCACTAAAAAATCTGGAGGACAAAAATAACGGGATGTTTAGATTCCAACTTGTTAATGGGAGTCTAGCAAAGAAAGGCATTTGAAAGTGATTTACTCCAAGTTTAATTTTCTGTCTTCCACACAGTTGGTACCTTTCTCCTGTGAAGCACATGAAACAGTTTCCCCCAGTCTGCACTGAGGGAAGGATATGCAAAATCTAACTACCTCCAAAGATGGTATTAAGCTCTCAGCAATGCTTGACAGGGATTACTCATACTAAGTACTTTATTACAGTTCTGCCACGGAACTATGCTGTTAAGAAAAAAGTTCATTAACCTTTGTTTCAGCACAAAAGAACACACTACCATTTCATTTGCTAGAACAGCCAGCAACACTACTGCATCTTTTATCATGTTAAAGTGTCAGTAACAATTAACAATATATTGCTTAGCACTAAATGTTCTTTTACAATATTTTACTATTATGAAAGAACATTTAGCACTGAACTGTATTTTCCAGGTTTTTATATAGTACCAAGTTGTCAAAACATGTGAGCATCTCAAAAGCAGAAAGAAGCTCCAAAAAGGATCCAGAAATCTCCTAAATTCTGTTTTTAGAATCTGCCCCTGCACGTAGCAGTAGATACTTCAAAAGACAGCAGATAAATGTGGTTACCTCAAATCTTATTGTATGTATAAATACACTTTTTTTACTTTGTACTTTGATACAAACAAACTTTACTGCTTTCTAAAATGATATCTGCACAGCCATCCAAAAACAACTGTTGCTACCTTCTAAGCTTTATTTACTTCCCATTCAGGGTGGAAAAACTGTAAATTCTGGTTAAATCCCTAAATAAATTCTAGGAAAAATTGCACCTGTAAAAACTGTAATGGTTTTGTAATTATACAATTATACTGTGTTTACAAAATTAAGAGGCCAATAGGAATTCTATTTCTACTTTTTGTCTAACCTCCCTCTCCTCAATCCCATGTCAGAGTCACTGTAATAATGAGCAAGTATCACAATGCTATTGTTCCTAATTTCCTGGACAAAACTGAAAAGTACTACCCAGCTACCCTCAAGATTAACTCCATCACTACTAACAGTTGAAATAATATGTTGCTTCAGCAAAAAATTTCACAAATAATTACAGTAATTATGTATCACAAAATGTAATTATGTGTAATTATGTATCACAAAATTACCAGTATTTTTTAAAATCTAAAAGGAAAGAAAGAGACATTTCTTAGGTTAAAACTTTTTTTAAGAGGCTAAAAAGAAAGCTGAGACCCATTCATGTAATGGATATGTTTATTTACTATGCAGGCTAAACAACTTGCCTAAAGGAAAGTAACGAGGTGTGCCAGCATATATCTTTCCAAGCAATACCATCTTCAGACTAAGTGCTTGCATTCTGTCAGCGGGGCTCAGAGACACACTATCGCTCAACTCTGAAAGAGAAAAGAAATCATTTAGAAAGAACTTAAGAAAAAAAGTTCCACATTTATACACAACTATACTGACGTACTTACATTTACTACTAACACATCAAAATCTTACGCTATTGTCAGTGCAAAATCAGCACGTGGAAATGAAAGTACAACTTTTTCTGGTATGTAGGCATATATGTTCACAGATTTTAATGTTTCCTTGAAGTTCCATGCAAATCTACTTAAAAAAACCCAACCAACCAACCAACCAAAACCCCCAAACCCCACCACCAAACCCCAAAACAACAAACCCACAAAAAAAAAGCTACCACATAGCTTTTCCCTCAAATCACTGTGAATGTTGTTTGCACAATGGCAACCTCGAGCACAAAATCCAAGGGGAAAAAAACCCCAAAACAGGAAGAGAGTGAATTACCAACTCATGGTAAAGGGTGAGGCAAGGTTATCACAGCTGAGTGGCTAGGCTTGCAGAGCTGTGACCCCTATTCTGCTTCCCTATAAATGGACAAAACCCTTACACTTCCACTCCTGTCAACGTTATAAAAACGCTGAACTCCCTGAAGATTCTTTAATCTTTGTCATGATAAATTTAACATTTTTATTATAATTTCCTAATAGTGAAACCTTCAGACAAAATTTCACAAGTATTCTGAAGTCCATATATAATGGCATCTAAGAACAAGAAGGGATGAAATGACTTCAGAAATGTTATCTGGAATGTGATTATTCAAGCCATACATGGAATATGCTCCAACATGTATGTAAAAATATTACTTTTCTGTCCTTTAGGTGCACAAGCCAAAGGTAGTAACATTAATGAATTACGGGTTAACTACGCTTAACTATATTACAGAATAGTCCAGAAAAGATGCATCTCACTTGGACAACATATCAGTAGCACCACATAGTCTTAAAAGCTTTAATTGTACTGTTTTCCTATAGTTTTAGTTCGTACCACTCCTAGTCCATTAAGACCTACCTTTCTCAATGATTTCTTGCCAGAGAGTTTGCACCAAGATAGGATCAGAATGACCCGCGCAATGTATAATTGCAAGCTTACACTCTGAGAGCTTAAAAGGGTCAGCAAATTCTCCATACAGCTGAAAGAAAAATTACCAGGCTTTACATTTCAAGTAGGATAAAAATGAAATTCTTAAAATCAGCTTTTCTTTATTTTGTATGATAGACATCAGACTAGTAAAGATGCAACTTAAGTAACTGTTGTCAAACACAAAATGTGTTGGGTTTTTTGGGGTTTTTTTGGTTGTTTTTTTTTTTTCAACATTTAGTTTCACTTCTTAAATACAATCCCCAATTTTATATGAAGTTATAATTAATACCATTAATTTTCGAACAATTTTCCCAATAAATGAAGAAATCTAAGAGACTTAATAAAGAATATAAACATACGGAAGAAATTAAAGTACTAAAGATTGAAGGAATACCAAAGTACAGAAAAAGACAGTCTCGGGTAACAGACATT